GTGTTTGGCGCATGTCCTAGCACAGGTTTTTGTATTGCGGCTGTGGAGGGGGGGCCGGTGTACACAAGGGTGCCAGAGTGCAAGCCTTCGATGGCGAGGGTTCGAACGGTTTGGAGTTTACCGCGCTGCCACGACTATCGTGAGATGCACGGATTGTTTTCTTGAGTATTCACCCCGACAAAGCACCTTGAATCGAATCTGTCATGAGGCTTAGCCGCACCAATCCGCACCCACGCCCTCAATACCAGAACCGTCTTGCTGGAGCTCGGCATTTAGATTGTGCTGCTTTTTCCACCATGAGCTAACAACGAAAGATCAGAGCCTCTTGCACCAACTGGAATGCAGACGGCAAGTCCCCTGCCTCGGCACCGATGGGACCCTTGGCGAAGTAGCGTGAAGGAAGCCGCATGGGCCTCTTCCGTGCCGTATTCGATCAAGGCACTCAGTTCTTTGAAGACGGACTGGTTTAAGTTGATTTTACTTGTTGTAGATTTATACATGATTCAACAATAACTTTAAACAATCTGGGGTACTGCTATGGCTTGAAAAGGGGATATGTTTTCCAAATATGTAGACCCGTATACTCGTGCCTCCGGCACGAAACCCTGCACTCAAGGCCCCGGCAGTACCATAAGGACCTTTAACGATGGGAGTTCTTGTAACTCCTTGTATATACGCAATTCTCCCGGGTTTAGGGTTTACATATGGGTAAAGCAGCTTTTGTCCGTGGGCAGTAGGATGCTATACCAAAACGCTCAAAAAGGCTATATGTATACAAAAGATGACTCAAGATTCATGATCTGGAGGCCTTAACAAATTAGAATAGGGTCTCGGCGCATATGATCGTAGAACAATGAAGGTCCTAAACCCCAAACCCCAATAAGACTGCAAACGCCAGAGGCCCCACAACCGTAGCTTGTGAGCCGCCATAATCCTAGGGTAAACGTCTAAACGACTAGACATGTGGGCTGAGGTTTCCCAGCATTCTTCAAACCTGATTCATTCAGGTGATCACAGAGTCAAAATGATAAATGGAAAGCCGGCACTACGAGAGCACATGATATGGAGCTTTATACTAGGACCCCTGCAAAACCCATAATCGGTTAAAGGCCCCCCTGGCACCATAGGTGGACCTCGGTAACCCCACAACCCCAAACACAAAACCGGACGTAAATCCAAACCTTAAGCCCTAAGCCTAAAGCCCTAAATTCTCACCCCAAATCATGAAGCCGCAGCATCGCTGATCTCACAGCATGTATGCCAGAGTACAGCGAGCATACCTCCCGAACAAACTCTTGATCCGACAGCCAAAGGCCGAAACCCAAAGCTTTCAACAAGAAGCCCCAAAACCTAGATTGCCTAGGTCCTAAGCAAGAAATCTTAACCCACAAATCCCGGACCCTGAATCGCACGCCCGGTAAGTCCGGACTTAGAAACCCGATGAGTCTTTGACTCGAAAGCCCGATGCCTTCGAAATGCATGGAGTCTCGATCCCTAACCCGATAAGCCCCTTGATCCGACAGCAAGTAAAAGTGCAGACGTCAAAAAACAAATAGGAATGTGTACTACAATACAATGAAAGCAGAACTCAGTATCCGACCAAGAAGCAGTGTCTGGTCTGAACTGAAGAGAAGAAGCCCAAGGTGCTTGGAATCAAGCACAGGCTTACTGCAGCCCAAAATCCCTTCAGGGAGTTCAGTCTACACCAGGAGAGCCCCAAACACCAAAGCCAAGGAAACTTCATCTAAACCCCAAGGTTTGGCATCCAAAACCCAAGCCCCACAGCAAAGGAAGTTCTTTCTAGCAAGGGCCCGAAAACCTTCCATAAACCAAAGCAGCCCTTCTAGGACCCTGATGATCAAGGAGCCCTGGACCCCAAACCCTCCACCCTAAAGCCCTAAAGCCCAAACCCGTAAAGCCTAACGCCCTAAAGCCTAAACCCCCAAGCCCTAATGCCCTAAACCAGAAGCTCTAGACCCTAAAGTTTCATCTGCTGCCGGCTGGCTTGCTGAAGGTGATGTGGCACTGGCGCAAGTTCGACAAAGGCCTTCCAAAGCCGAAGGAGTGGTTCAATTAATTTAGGGACCTTAATGGTTAGAATAGGGCTTTGGGGGGTATGTTATATTCTAGTTGTTTTAAGGAACCCTGAAGAATAATTTTGAGGGCAGGGTTTTGGGTTATGTTATAGTATACATAGCTATGTCAAGGAACCCTAAGGGATAGTATTGATGAACATTCAGGCTGGGGCGTCATTCAAGGTTTCTTTTCTTCGGGTTTAGTGAGGAGGACTACTATCTGCGCATGTATTTATCTATATACATACCTCCACACACATTTGTATTGTGTGGAAAGTGTAGTTGTTTGATCTTGCTTTCTCCGCGAAGCACGAAGGGCTAATTGTTGGGCTTAAACGTGCCTTGAAAGTTTTAAGCGCCTGGGATTCAGGAGCTGAGGACTGGTAGGGTCAAGTCTGCGTTTAGGATTGGTTGCGGAAGGCCGTGGCGCCTAGGCTGGCTGGCTTCTACCAGTGGTACTCTCGGGCCTCCTGACTGCACATGTTGGTCTGCTCCTGGTTGAATGTGAATACACATGTTCAGAAAGCGCGCGGCAGCTGGCATTGTTCATGACGTCGACAAGTTTGCTTCGGCATCCTCTGGTCTGCTTCCGCATGCACTAGGCTGCAGGCCGAAAGTTCTTCTGCCGGTTGATGTATTGATGTCGCTACCGCTGCTGTTGATGCTGCAGCTGATGACGATGATGTTGATGATATGATGGCGATGGCAAGACCTCAGGCCGAACTCCAAGGCCCTGAAATCTAAAGCTTATAAAGCTCACTGGAAGCTGCGGTACCCTTCCACGACGAGCTCGTACTTTTTGTAATGCCCGAGGAGGTTGACCCACCTTGCAAGAGGCTTCCTTCACAAACTGACATGGAGCTCGTGCTGGTGTGGGGGTAGGATCCATGGACGCTTGCTGACTTGGGCCTAAGCTGAGGACCTCAGCCCTGAAGGTTTGCGTGTTTTGGCTCTTTGAATTGAACGGCACCAAGGACTGCAATGTTACAAGGTTCACATCACTGACAAAAGCTCTCAGTTAGCCGCAAAATATGTGAGCATACCCAAGGCAAAAGGACTCGCAGAACAACAGTGACAACACACGAGTGGTCAGGCTGATAGACTCTGATCTCGCACACATTAAAAATGGGGAATGATACAAGAGTGCCATGACCTCAGAAGCCCCTACCTGGTCAATAACCACCTCAAAGAGGTGATCTCTAAGCCCTGTTTCCTTAAATCAGAAGGAGGGGCCAACCCAATATACGCCCTCCCCATGGACTAAAAGGCCTAGCCGGTACCCTAATCCCGTAAAAACAATTTAAAACCCTAAACCCAAAGCCCAACACCCTTTTGAAGCACCTATCCACTTGACATGGCTCAATGTCGGCAATCTGACTATGGCCATACTGTAGTGGGCTCAGGAGCTTGGAAGACTTGCCTCGACCTCCTAGGTTCTTGTCAAGTAATTTAATTTAAGCTACCACAATGAAGAAAGCTTATTTTTATTTGCAAAAGATCACTGTTGTGGGAAAACATGTAGATACTTAACAAGAACCCAGTATCTGCAGCGTCAAAAGGTGTCAGCAAGGCTTCGGATTGATGCATTACAGGGCGGCTTTGGCTTCGAGGTTGACTTGTAGGATTGCAGGACGTCGCAGATCGGACTGGTGTATGCATTGTGCACAGAATGAACAGCAATGTTTGTGGGGTCCGCTGAAGAGTAACCCCGGTTTCTTCACGGCCCTGAATACGAGACGAGAGTTCCTGCTACATCGCTTATAATTCAAGGAGAATGAAGGTTGATTCATCAAGGGTTCTTACTGTATTTACGGTTCACAGACACGGTTACGGGGCTGAGGACTCTAGACTCTAAGCCCTAAACCCTATACACCCCAAGCTCAGGTGGTCGAATCATTTACAGGACTTGGTATGAAGCTGTTCTTCGGGTTGGTGGGCCTGGAGGTTGACGGGGCTACGAAAACTGTGAAAATCGACAATTTTGAGGCTTCCTCGCTGTGTCTTCCTGGTGTAGCCCTCAAAAATGTGCGTTTTTCGGTCTTCAGGTAAGGGTTGAGGGTTCAGGAGTCTAGAGACCGGGACTTCCAGACGCCAAGGTGCAAAGAAGGTTGTGCACGGAACTGCTTTCCCAAAACCTGCGGCTTCAACACTTGGAGGCTCAGGGAACCTAGAAAGGAGGGTCATAAACATACCGTAGTGGGCGCTTGATGTAGCTATAGCTACCAGAGCCACCTGTCCTTTAACCCTGTTCACTTAGTTCCCTGAGCATTGAAGCACGAGTGCCACGATCCCCTCGAAGAAGCCGGCCTACTCTTACTTCCCCCATAAGACAGGGAAATAGAAGGTTACACTTTCAGATTTCTACAAAGTTAAAAGAACCCGCAAGAATTGAAGGTTGGGTATTGGGGAACTAAGTACTTGGAAGATCGCGGGAGGTGCCTGAACAAATAGGCAGGGCGATGATAAGGACGTATATGGGCAGTTCGTTAAATTAGTGTTTTTGAGTCCCCCTAGCAGTACGGCACCTTAATAAAAAGTACCCTAAAAAGGGACCCTGATTTAGAAAACCACCCATATACAAAGCCGAGTTAGGGCTCTGCTTCGAGTGTAGAGCTCAGATTTTTGGTAAGGGGTTACTGCTTGCTAATATTCATTATTCAAGTCGGAATCATTGTTAGTGATTTACTGAGACCGACCACCATCGTAGACCCACAACCTGAGATTCCGATGATAGAACTCCTCTCAGCACGAATCCTGAGTCGCGACCCTCTGCATAGGGATCTGAATAGCCCGTGTATAGTTGTAGGCCAATACACCCTCAAACTCTGGTCTGATCAATACGGCCGCTATCTTGCCGAACGACAACGCCCGAAAGTTCATCCCTGGATCCGAAGCCTTGCAGCGAACGGGGCGGCATGTTAGGGTTTATAGGGCTTTAAGGATTTTGGCCTTGGCGTTGCCGCAGATGATGAGTCCGTACTTGGCACGGGTCAGGGCCACGTTCAGGCGCCGCGGGTCGTTCAAAAACCTGGAAAGGCAAGCTAGGAAACTCCTAAACATCGCCCCAGGATGTAATTTAGCTACTTCATATTGAAGCCTGAATGATTTGACTACGGTTTTGGCGGGCTCTGTGTATACGATAGCTTCATAGAAGAACCCAAAGTAAGCCACACCAAAAAACTAATTGTCCAGCTCCTGCAGTAGGAGCCCAGTTTTAGGATGGCAGGCTTGGCTTAGTAATTGCATGGATACGGGTCGAATCAACAACATTTTCTGATCAACATCGGATTCCAGGACAGCCCGCTTGAACAGCAAATGTCATGGGAGGTTCAGTTTGTTGTCCGCAACGAAGTAGCAATCAAAATTTCGGGCTTGAACTCCAACCTCGCTGGCATCCCGAAACACTTCTTAGAGCAAGGACAGCATGTAACTCATATAACATACACTTCTTATGTGAAACACTATCAGACACCATCAGATTCCTGACACCCTAGGCCTGTATCAATTATGCCGCTTTGGGCTCCCACTTTTTGGGCCGAAGGTTTCTACGTTTTGTGGGTGTTGATCAGTATTGCCTTCAGTGATATTAGGTTGCTTGTGTTGAGACTTTTTGGCTAGCCGTTCTTGTAGCCAAGATTCTCACAAGGGTCCGAAATAACATCACGGCCCTTAACACAACAGGTAGCATTTGCTTGTAGGTTTGAGTCTCGCTTGGAGGTTCACCTGTCCTGTTGGCGCCGAGAGACCCGATTCCCTGGTTCTGATTCGATCGCACGCAGGAGAGGAGGATGAAATCCTGGCAAGTCTCGGGCATTCATTGGAAATGCGGTGCTTAAGGTTTCACCACTTGAGGCCACTCTGTAGAGTGTACCATGCCATACTCACATTGAGGAATAGTCATGCCTATTGTTACTATTGCCATTAGTTCTTATTGTCATTCTTGTTGGTAGTCTTATTCTCATTGCTACTATTATTTTTATTTCGTATACATATGATTAAAGTCTCGTACCATCATGATTAGCCGTATTATTATTCAAGCCTCTATTTTTCGGCGGCTCTTCCGGGATTCAGCGGTGTTCGGATGATTGGGACGGGATAAGATTTGTAGCATGAAGCCTCGACCCGTAAATAGGCAGAACTATGCTCTAATCACTTACACTTCTACTTGTGACTGAGTTTAAGTAACCTCTTGATCGTCTCGAGGTGATCCCTGATAGGGCTCGGATTCTGCAGCGTCTCAAATTCCTCATGCCTTGAGGACTCAACATTAAACCCCATGCCCCACTCTAAACCCCAAACCCTGAACCCATTTCAAAGTGCGTCGACACCTGCAAACGAGCCATGCATTAAACCCTAAATGAGCTAAACTCCTACACAACAAAACCACCCATCCCCAAACCCTTCAAAGAGGGTGCAAGGCTCGTGGCTTCTCCATGGATTGGTTTTGCTTTACAGCCGGCTCACAGTCGACTCTTTGGGAAACCCGGTCGAAGTCTAGAAGCACCTCCTGAAAATGCGGCGCGAGGTGAAGATCTTATGCCCCTTGTCCCATCAATCTGATTGCACCTGGAACCTCGATTCTTTTCATCAGGTTCACTCCTGAGTCCTTTAATTCGGGGGCATGTTCAGGTCCCTAGACCTCAAAACCTTACACTCCAAAGCCCCAAAGCCTAAACCCCTAGACCCCAAGCCCCGCTTAGGCTGCTTTCATCTCCTTCTCGCGGCCCTGGAAGCTGTCGACACTGGCGACTTCAATCTCCTCGTAGGCCTGGAGGCACTTTAGCGTTTGGAGGTGAGCGCCTTCGGGTTGAGGGTTTGGGGTTCAGGCCTCAGGGTTTAAGGTTTAGTGCATTTTCTTTTGAGGGAAGGGGGTTCCTCAGGCTCGTTGCTGTCTCTACAATGGGCTCCAACGTCTTCGGCTCTTTTGCCTTCGCCCCGACCTGCTCCCACATCTGGAGGGTTTACGGACTGGCCCATAGTTAGAGCACTACATCCCCCAATCGTGATACAGTCCCTAACCAACAGTAACGGAGCCCTGGCCAATGAATTCAGGTCTTTACAAGGGGGTTTGAATCACATGTGTGAGGTTTAGGTAAGGGGGGCGTGGTTTTTGGGGCTTGTTTTTAGGGGTGGGTGTATGGCAATCCATGGTCATTCTTCGTAATGTAGCGGCCTAGGCGCTGAGAGTTTTGCTGTTTGTCGCCCTGCATAGTCACAGACGCATGCTGTGCTGGCGGAGCCTCTTTTATTGAATCTACTCCTTCATCAAGTGGCTCCCCAAGCACTGATGGAAAAGGGCTCCCGCTAAACCGTAGGCCTTGTGACTGAAAGTCGTCTGACGCTGCAGCACTGCGCAAATGTACGCACGCTGCCCCTCGTAGGGCGTGATGATGCCCACCTGGCGTGACGAAGCCTTAGCCTATCGGACAACCAAAAAAGGTTAATGCAGACCCCTGAATTTGACGGTTATATCAAGATCTCGATTTTCAGCCGTCAGGTTCTACTTGGTTGTAGTGCGACGGAGTTCTTCGAAGGTCGGGTGCTCTTTGCATGGAGAACACCTTGAAAGCCTAAGACCGTAACTAAGATCCTAAGACCCTAAACCCTAACACCATAATGAACCCAGTGAGCCCCAATACAGTGAAGCCTAATTAATCATCCTAAACCCACAGCCAGGTAAACTCCCGAAAGCCTACAGACCATCATTCCCAAGACCGAAAGCACGCACAACCCTAATGAAGACCCGTCGTGAAAGCTTTGGGATTCGAGGGTTTTGGGATGGTTTGGGATTTCAGGGTTCTGGTCTGTTTGGGGGAGTTTAGGGTGTTGGGCTGGTTTTGGGTTTTTAGTGTATAGGGTCCTGGTATTCTTTGGAGTGAAGGGCTTTTTGGGTTGTTTTCGCGCTTGAGGAGAGTGTAACAGAAACAGGTGCCAGCAATCATGTCCGGATGGCTGCTAGATCTCGATGATGATGGAGATGATGCAGATGATAGTACTGGTGTTCTGATGACAACAGTGGCTTCGGGTGAAGAAGAAGATGACGAGCCTTGAAACCTTCAGCCCAAAACCTGAAACCTTAAACCCAACTCATGAACCCTAAACCCTAAGCCCTGATTCTGAGATTCTGCCTTTGGGGTGCCGAGAGCATGCTTGATCTCCGAAGCTTTGAGTGAGACTTGACCGGAGCTGCGCAGGCTGTACGCTGATTGTGTGCGGTAACAGCACTAGCAGTAGGACTAGTAATCGTAGTGTTAGCAATAGAAAATAGTTGCAGTGCTGGTAGTCGTGACAGTAATTGCAGCAATAAAGGTAATATTCAACGCCATGAGAACTGGGACTAGTGATAGCAACGGCAAACATTGTACTAGTATTCTACCGGCCGGAAAAAGCTTTTCACTACTGGCTCATGCCAAAACAAACGCCGGTTGCGAGGCAATTTTGCCGCATCGCGGGGGATCCCATATCTCGGTGTCTGGAGGAGCCAGGAAGAGGGTATTGGAACCTAAACCCTAGACTGAAACCAGCTAAAGCCTCAAGGGAGGCCAGGGCGCCTACACTGTGACACCGTAAGCCCCAAATCTCCAAAACCTAAGGGCTCAAACATAAACCCTTCAGCCTAAGATTTGAAAACCTGGCCCAACTGAAAATACAGCGCCAAGCCTTGCCAAGCCTTGCACCGTTTGCTTCGGCTCGCGCTTTTGCTCGGATTCATGATGGATTCAGGTTCAGGGCTTTGGGGTGTAGGGTGGTTAGGGTTAGGGTTTAGGGTTCATACCAATAGTTGGCGTTCAGGCCCTTCCTCATGCTCCTACCGAAACCACTCCCGAAGCAAGCAAACTCGGAAACGTGTTGGACCTGGTAGGGCTTCACACCCGACTTCAGGAAGTAGGTGACGAGCTTTTCGATGTTGGTCGCCTTGTCAGATGGAAGGTGCAGGGGGAAGCCGGTCTGGGCCGCGAAGCTTGCGTGCTCTTTTGCTGTTGACGAGGTGGGGTTGTCTAGCATTGATCCTACACCGAACGAGGGCTTAGAGGCCTTTGACTCGTTGAAGTTTTGAGTTTTCGGGGACTTTAGGGTTTTAGGTTGTAGGTTGTAGAGCTAAAAAATCAGCATAAGTTTTGGGGCACTACCTATAGTAATTATCAACAACGGCTACAGGGGAGACTATCAACAACTCTTCCGACCACTATATTGGAACGGGGCCTCCGTGCGGTTCAAGTAGGACGTTCCGGACGCTGAAATCTCCTCTGCGCCCGTGGAGTTCAGGAAGAACCTGCCAGCAAGATATGAGATGCTCATCGTCCTAACCACAGTTCCCTATAGTGGCAGATATGATGTTCATACTTACCCCCCTAAACCCTAGGCCCTAAACCCCATTCTTCGGCTTGTTGAATGCAGCCACAGTAACTCTACACGACATCCGAAATCCTCAAACCTGAAGCCGCAGCTTCGATGCCTCAAACACAAGCTCAAACCCGGAGCCCTCACGCTGTCAGGTAGCCGGCCCCCGAAACCAAAGCTGGGGGTTATCTCTCTTCAAAACTATGAAACTAAAGTAACTACTACGGATTTGTTCCTAGACTGTGGCCTTCAGTGGTTTCCCTTGTGGTAGTGTGAATGCCAATGTATATGCTTTAGTGGTATATGCACCATACAGAACCCCCAAGCCCGATGCCCTCGACCTGCACCGAAGCACTGAAGAGGTTCCAGCGGCCTCCTCTCAATCCCTACAGAACTCAAAAAGAACTGGGAAGACTGGCGATTTCGGAGGTCTCGATATGTTGACTACACATTCCAACCATGCTCCAACGCATTGCCGGGTTGTTCCCTCCTGAACCCAGCGACTTGGCCACACTCAAAACCGTCCTAAGGCTCAATAAACCGTAAAAACCCCAAACCCCAAACCTTAAACTCTAAACCATAAACCTGAAACTCTGTACCCTAAACCCTAAACACAACAAACATCATCTAAAGAGCATCATGAAGCCCTTATCAGACCCCCTTGAAGAGCCCTTACACTTCCTGTGTCCTCGATTGGGATTGCTACTATATGTTATTTCAATTCTTGCTAGGTTATCAATATGAACGCTACGCTGAAAACTATACAAAACCGCAAGTGTTTATGACGTTTTGCAAAACTCAAAGCCCAAAACACTACGAAAGCCCCTCGGCCGCGACGCATAGGCATGTCTGGCCGGGGCCAGGGGAATTCGATACCGGCGTAAAGACGCTCCTTTGATTGCAATGAGTTTAGGGTTAGGGTTTTTGAGTTTAGGGCTTCTTGAAAATGCAATGCACCTTTGACTCGCAAGAAGTGCAGCAAGCGCTCAGGGTAGGTTTAGGATTTAGGGTTTGGAGTGTACGGCTTTGCGGTGAGCTCAGACAGTAGGGTTCAGAAGTTCAGGATTCGGGGTTCTCTGTGGCAGCCTCAAGAAATCGATTGGGATTTTGCGGTAGGCTAGGTCAAAGTTATAATTTGAATGGCAAAGACGCAAACTCGCAACGTCATGTTATATGGATTGTAAAGTCTCGCGTTGGACCCTCTCGAGGGCATGCTCGGTTGCTTTACTTAGGTGACAGGACTGATAAGTTGAGAACCAGGGGTATATGGACGGTGAACACGTATTAATCAGAACAAGTATACAGGCGCATGAAGCCCTTTGGGATGATGTAGGCCAATGTAGGCTACTTAGGGCTTATAAGTCTCTAGGCCGCAACATACAAACCTTGGAGTACCAAGGAGCATTGAGGGTGACCCCATTCTGAAGCGAGCCGTCGTAGAAGGACTGCGACGGGAACTCCGACAGGCAGGGATGCATGCGGTACTGCACCTGAAGCGAATGAGGGGCTTCCTTGGAGCAGGGGTAGGGTTTAGTGGCATCTAGAGCTTGCATCCCTATATAGGTTTCGAGTATAGGGCTCGAGCGGCTCGAGGACTCTGGGGTATTTAGGCTGTTTGAGGTTGGACCCCTAACAAATGCTTGGAGACAGGCATGGCTGAGGACCCTTATGTTCCTGGGTGGGGGCTTGCTAGCGAGGCTCTGTGAATTTCCCGCTCAACTGCTTTTGGTCCACCGTTCAGAACTCGCACTGCAAACCCCAAATTTCGTGACTCCTCAAGACCTTTCGGACCGAAGAATCCCTAAACCCGAAACCCCACGACTCCTCATTCGCGGCCCCCTCAGCCTGAACTCGTAGATTAGTTGCCAAAAGGGTCCTTTCAGTCTTGGTAGGGCCAGGAGTCAAGTATTAGAGATTGATTGGGTCTCCAAGCTTCAAGACGAGAACAACCCTACAAATTGCAGTACTGTTCTTGCGATTCTGCTTATCAGCACGGTGGTTAGTTTACATATATTATGTAGGAATAACAAGAAAAGTCAGACGAGTATAAGATTACAATATAATACTAACAATTAACACTGAATAGTAAAAACAAAACCAATCATGACGTTGTTGTTGTTGCTGCTGCTGTTGCTGCTGCTGCTGCTACTACTACTACTACTACTACTACTGCTACTACTGCTACTACTACTACTACTACGACGATGATGACGACGACGACGACTACGACTACGACTACGACTACAACGACAACGACGACGACTAATACTTGCTATTGTTAATACTCTCATATATTAGCAATATTAGTAATGATCGTACTAAGAATCATACTACGTGCAAAAATGATACGTATAGCAATAACAGCATTATCATAGGTTTTGAGGAATTCTTGGCACGTTTCCGATTGACTCTGCACAGCCTCCAAGCGGACTGGCCGAACGCCAAGGAAGATCAGCCGCTCCTCTGTAGTTTGTTGGTGGCTTTTGTCTTGGGGTTTAGGGTTGTTTTTTGGTTTGGGGTCTTGCTGGCTTGTTTTTTTTCGAAAGGGGGGAGGTGCCCAAAAAAGGTGTTTGCGTTGGGCCTCTTGTGCGTTTCTGCTTTAAGGGATGGACTGGCCGCTAGCCTCGCTTGAGTATGGTCTGGTGTGTTGGTTTTGGGCTTTTGTTGACTGCTTGTTTGAGAGGGGTGGATGCCCGAAAAGGGTTTTGGGGTTGTGGCAATTGACCGTCTCTGGTTTAAGGGTTGTGAAAGGTTTGCTGGTCTAGCCTCGTTTATATTCTGGGGGGTTGGTGTTAGGGGGCTGCGGGTCGTGGGTGTAGGCTGGCTTAGAGGTTGGAGGGCTGGGGTTGAGAGCTTGGGGGTTCTGCGCTATAGTATCCTGTATTATAGCATCAGACTATACTATACTATACGATACTATACCATGTTTCGGGGTCTGGCGTTTCGAACTTAGGGCCTTGGGTTTTCGGCTTCAGAGTTCTCTGGTTCAGGGTACAGTAGGTTTAGGGTTTCGGGTTTCGGGTTCTTCAACGGATGTAGGCTTGGCTCCAAGCCTCTTCTCGCGGTTTTGTGCAGGTTTCGGCTGACGTTTTAAAGTTTACGACTTTTGTGGGAGCTCTTTTGGGCTCATGGGTTTAAGGTAGCAGCCAGATGCAGCCAGCAGGATTTGGGGCTGTTGGGGTTTTGGGGTTTACGTATGTTTACACAAGATTGCCGGCCTTGTGGCTTTGGGTTGCTACTGTACTAGCACCCGTCCGCGAGCTACCACGGGCTTTCTCAACCTCGGCCCTAAACCGAGCCAAGTGGCAAAGAGACTCTGGTGAAGCCCTGCCTTCGCCGCCTTCTTGCACCTGAGGACCAGGACAGTCTCTCTGGTTGGTTTAGGGCATCGGAAACACTGTTTTTTCATCGGAGTTATCGGGTGGCAAATTTACTTTTTTATCTGACAAAACCCGAAACATCGGAGTTCGAGCTGCCATGCCGGTTTTATTGGTGGGAAAACATTGCAGAAAATTTCGCAAGGTGGTGTCCTGAAGGTCGCAGAGAAGTTCATTAAGAGGTGGATTGGTTGATGCTCAATCATTTCATGGAGGTTGGTTCGATAACGCTGCAACCGGAGACCCCAAGGACTAGATCTTAGTTAAATCCTGCAGGTTGTAAGAGGGTTTTTGAAGTTTGGTTGAATCGATATGCAAATTCATCAGTATCATTATTGCTATAGTATGTATTTATATATACACATATATATATATGTATATGTATATGTACACATATCTATATATATATATACACATACACACGCACACATATTTTCTCGTGCCGTTGACCATAAACCCTGAACCTAGTTTAGGATCGACGGCTGCCGTCATCCGTTCGCAACCCCTGCCTCTCACCCTCGTGGCTGGGATTCTACGGATTAGGGTTCGCTGTAGCCCAAGACCTACAAAGTAGATCATGTGCCCTCAGTAACAAAGCTGATACCTTTCAAACTAATGATTTGTGCCGCAGGTTACTTTGTCGGGGATTATAACATGCTACAATCGCAGGATAAGGTGACACAATCGTAAACCCTTAAAGCCTTATACAATCCTGTACCCTGTTTCAGACAATTCAAGTACATCGGCATCTTTTCTTGGTTCCCGATGGATTCCCTCCGAGCTGCATGATCACCGGCCCAAGCTGGCAGTGATCTCCAACCAAGACCATCTGCTTCGCCTTGCTGAGTTTACTTTAGGGTTTAAGGGTTTAGGGTCTATGGGCTTAATGCAGGTAGAGTGTTATCATCCTCAGGTAGTGATAACATGTAATAACAGACAGCGTATTGCCTCTGTTTCAGCTCTGTCACTGTTACCTTTCGTCTATAGTTTTGTTAGTTGTGCTCCAGCTCAAGCCCGTGATAGTGAGCTCTTGGTCGACCCTCAACGTCGGTAACCCAAAACCCTCCCGAATCGTACATGTGTGATGACTCCTTAGCTGTAGGGTGTGTCTTATGAAAGGGTAAGTTATTCAAGGTCTTGGATGAGCTTCATGAGCTCATTCAAGATTGGCAAACCCTCGGGCTCTGTCTCCGGTAATGTCGCTAAATAATGGGTTGGTTCCTCGGATTACATAAATATATACTACATGGCTAGTAGCCTGCTATTTCAGTAACTGGAAAATGGGGGAAGCCGGAAAACCAGTCCTGTAGCTTCTGCGTCTCATAGAACAGCATGTGAAAACAATCCGGGCAAGCGGCACGGTGCAATTAGACGGCTGGACAGGGTTCGATGAACTCAGGCTTTCGTGCTGATACAATAGTACGGTAGCAAGGCTTGCGAGTAGAGTGGTTCTACAGGGGAGGGTCCATGTGCCTAGACAGTTTGTACTATGCACTTTGCCCTTGAGGTTGCTACAGTATATACAAGTCCAGTGTGTATGTACCAAGGCTAGAACCCTGCGACCCTAACCCGAAGCAATCGTAATCCGAACGCTCTGCGAACCCTAAAGCCCAAAACCCTAATGTAAACCAGAGAAAGGCCAAATATCGAATTCCGGTATCCTGCAACCCCGAGCCAAAAAATTCTTATACCCTCTACAGCCTACAAATTCCTGCAAAACCACCCAAACCTAAATCCCGAAACCCTCTAGACGCGACGAACTCCCACAAAACCCGTAGGCTTAAGTGAGGCAAGGTGGCGCCCATCATGATCGGAATGAGACACTCCGGCTCAGCAGCCTCTCAGTGACAAACACTTCGAGCTTTCTGGGACAGTTTGAAGTTGGCTTTGGGGTGGTAGGGTTCAGGGCGGGTTTAGGATGGCGTTGCTTGTTTGGGAAACCCCAAAGCCGAAGATCCCAAGACACACCTCCCTGAGGGTCCAGGTACCCATCCAGTGCCCTACAATTAGTCTAGGGTCCTTCAAAAGGCTGAAGTATGGACCAAAAGTATAGACTATATGGGTACCATGCACCCTTAGGGTCTTTCAGAACTCAAGCTACGACATGCAGCCCTGCAAACGACTCCTGTTACGTGCACAAGGATGCAAAGAATAACCTGATGAAACGCTCCATACACCCTCGAAGTGAAGGTACCTTGATGTCAACCCCAAAGCCCAACCTATGCTTCTCAAGCCCGATAAACCCCCACATAAACCCTATCTCAACCCTAAAAGAAGACCACGCCTCAAAGAACACTCCGAAACCCCAAAAACGCATGCCTGCGTCGACTCATCCACGAGCACCTGCTTGAAGCGGAAGTTCTGCAGACGCGGATCTCCCGCACCAACCTCGGCTTCTGTCCCTCGAAGGTAGGTTCGTTTTGGTAGGGGCTTTAGGATTCAGGGCTTAGTGTCTAGGGCTTAGGGGAATCAGGGGCTTTACAAGGTGTTTTTGTTCTATAAGGGCTGTATTAGATTATTTAGAAATCAACTGAAATCATCTCCCCTTATATAGCCCTTATACCCTTATTTTTTGTCGAAAATGCCATTAGACCTTACAGATCCCTACATTGCCCTGCATATTCCTCTGAAGGGGTTTTGGATTCATGGTTGTGAGGGAATGCTTTTGGCATTTTGGGGTGGTAATGAAGGGATCCGGCCACAAACTCGGGTTCCAAGAAAAGCAACTATGGCTACATCTGCACATCGGCTAGATATTGTGTACTTGTTACTGTTCCGCTGAGACTCTAAGCTGGAGTTTTGAGTTTAAGGTTTAAAGCTTTTGCACACCTTAAGGACCTTAAGGCTTTACGACTTATGACAGAGTGTTTCCGGTTTAGTTTGAGCTCCTTTTTTCAATGGGCAGCGAGCGGGCCAATACAAGCTTGAGAGTTTGAGGGTTCAGGGTTTGAGGGGTCAAGGCTTTCGGATGCAAGGCCTTTTCCAAGGCCTCGGGTAGGATGTGCGGTTTAAGGCTCAATGTTGGTATATCACATCCTGATACTATAATAACGTTACTCTTCGGGGAGTCTGCTGAGTGCTGAAAGTCTAAGCCCTGGATCCCAAGATTCGCTGCAAACCCCACAATCCCAAAACCCTCAGCCTCTAACCCGCCCTCAGCTTGAAGATCTTGAAACCAGGCTCAAACCCTCAATTTTGCCCAGTGGCACAGGTGGTGCAGATGACATCGGCTGCGGTGAGCAACTCACGCTCGGTGGAGTTCTGCAGCTGCTTGAACCTCGGGGTTGATTTTCAATACCTTCTTGTATCGAGTGTAGCAGGATTTAGGGCGCAACCCTTTGGGGTCTCGCGTAGCAGCTCTCCTCCCTAAACCCCATAAGCCCTGAACCCTTAAACCCAATAAACCCTAAACCCTGTAAACCCTAAACTTAGGGGATGAAAGTGTCGGCTTTAGGATTTGAGGATTCGGATGGGGATGGGCACCACTAGTCTACTTGTCACTGGAAGCATCTGCGTGCGGCCACCCATGTCTAAGCCGCGGGAACAACAACCTATACATCGGCAATGCTCACACCCCAGCCCCCAAAACACAGGAAACGAGTCCGAAATCCAGTGAACCGCAGGCATGTGGCTTCTTCTCGTCCACATGGGAGAGCTCACCCAACTCATCCTTTCAGCAATGTCAGGGTTTTGGAGGTTTTAGGGTTCAGGACTCTTCGGAGGAGGGCGTAGGGTTTGGGAAGTTGGGAGTGTAGGATTGCAGGCCTTTCTGGTTCAGAAGCCTGGGGCTTTCGGATCAACGGCTTTTGTGTGTTCGGCATTTTGGGCCTGAGGTCTTAGGAATTTCAGGAATGTCGCATTTAAAGACTGGCTAAGAGGCACTTGTGGTTATACGAGGCTCTGGCAAATTGTGTCTATAAGGATCCCATACGGTAACCCTCAAAAGGCACTACAATGCATACTAAAGGCAAACCCTTAACCCCAGCTTCTTATGCCCCCCCCCTTTCCTAGATATTCTCTCGGCTGCCTTCAGCGCCATGAGCTTCTGAAGCTCCTGGTGGTCCGGAGTATCCAGGTGCCGCACCTCAGAAGGCTTCGGTTTAGAGCATGGGACTTGGGATGAAATAGAGAGGCCTTAGAAGGGTAAGAGCATAGGGGGTTACAAGGTTGAGGGCAGCCGGCTAAGGGATTTTGTGAAGGATTGAAGGCGTTTCGATTAAACTCTAGATCATGAAGGTAGATTCAGGATTTAAGCGGAACGAAGGCCTCGAGATATTGGGACTTCTGAGACATCTCTACAAATGGGGGCAAAGTCGCAAATCCATACCACAATAAGTCTCTCTAATCTCGGAGCAATTCAGACTATCACATACGCTGCAAACGCTAAGCCCTGAGGCCAAAACTCGAGGTCCTATGACGCAAAGCCACTAAACCCCATAAGGTGTCTGTGGCGGTAGCCCTGCCACAGCCTATCCTCAATGTCTGAGCTTAACATCAACCTAAGTTTACTCAAAGGCTTGAGGTGTACAAGATCCAACTTTGCCTGGTGGTGGAGCGTGAGGAAATCCACGCTGCTGGCCACCGCTTCACGGGACTTGGCACTCAAACCTTGGAACGTCAGTCTAGCCATCACATTTAATGTGCTGAGTCTTTTGTGCCGCTGCTATGTACTACTGTTACTGTTTGTCAGGTTCTGCAACTAAGGGGTCCTGCTATTTAGTGTTTGTTTTTTGGGGTCCTCTAACGCAGGAAGCTCTGACTTAGTGTTTACGGATTTTCGGCGTTGGGCATGGGGGCTGGGGATACCACCCTAGGTACAATTTTAGCACACGCTAAACTCGGCCGCGCGACGAACGACCTTCAAGCCTGTCTTGTGCAGTTTCTCCGCAAGTTGGTCGACGGCGATGTTGGACGGAGCACAGACCAAGACCTGCGGATGCGCCGGGAGTGCCAGGTTTCAAGAGATGTCTGGGACGATAGGCAGGCCGAACATGGTCCTTGGTTTTGAGCAAAGGGGACCTTAATCCTAACAAAGAGCTCGCCACATGTAGACTTCTTCCCTCCATTCCAGAAGATAGGGAAACCCTAGAGTGCAACCTCGCAGTGGAAGATGCTCATCAGGCCATGGATAACTATAACACTAAAGCGAGACAAAAAAACACAAAGCCAGCTAAAGCCGAAAGCCTAATGCATTCAAAGATCCACGCACATCAAAACTGCACATGCCCATCGTCACATGTACTTTAAAGGCCAGGCAAGCAACCGGCACTGTCAACACTACAAAAGGCCTACACTCTCTGGGGTGTCGCGCTCCCCCACCTGTCCCTGGTTCTGCCGCGTGAGGTGGTAGACAATCGTGGCAGAGGTGACGGTCTTGCCCGTACCTGTCACACGATGCCTTAACCATAGAAGCTCCTAACCTGTTGAGTTGAGGGTTTAGGTAAGGGCAGTGAGTGGTAGTTGACGGCTGGCGTTGTCGGCATTTTTCTTGCCGCTGCCCGCAACCCTGAAGCCGTACATGCGAATGCAGCTCAAAGCCGATGTCTGGGCCTTTGCACATGCACTCTCTGACAAGATCCCTAAAGTCCTGAACCCAAAAGCCTGTAAAGCCTCTCAGCCCTAAACCCGGCTTTCTGCCTGAATCGATAATAAATAAGCACTCGTATGGGCTTGGAGGATCCGGTGCTGGACCGATCTGGGACTGCCGGAGGGGCTTAGGGTTGCTTGGCGTTCAGAGTTCTGGATGCACAGGGCTAGGGTTTAGATTGGGGCTTGGGGCTTGCAGAGGCAAAACATGCCTAGTAGACATTTTGCATTGGGCCCTTCATCATCACCATCATGATCATCATGATCATCATGATCATCGTCGTCATCATCAGGAGGACAGCCATACCAAGGGCACCCCCTAGTTCAAACTTTGGCCTCAGATTAGATTGTGGGATGCAGGGTTTAGGATCTACAAGCCTCAGTGCGATCTTCGTGAGCCTACGCTCCACTAATCTTGAGGGGTGACCTAACAACCGGACTACAGAGTCGACTCAAGTAAAAGAACGCCGCAGCATAATGGTAACCTCTGCGAACCCTTCCAGTACCCATTAAAGAGCACCCCAGAGTACTAGGACCCTAAATCGTAGTACCCTCATGGCGCCACCTGGGGGTCCCTGGATCAGGCACAGCGGGTTCGACAATGCCTTGCGGACCGCGTAGACCTGCTTTGATCCGGACTGCGGGGTGGGGCTTGCAGGGTCTAGGGTTTAGGGTTAGCCCCGAACCCCTCAAGGAATATCGGCTCTAACCTAATCCAGACCGACCTCTGGGCCATCTGCCTTTGCTAACACAGGGTCTTCAAATGGTTTGGGGTCTACTAGATACAAGAATTATCAGGGGATACACAAGCAACTTCTTTTACTACACTCTTAACTCTGACAAGCAAAGGAAACAATCTAAAAGCAAGACCACAGTCTCGGAACCGAAAACCTTCACCCCCGAGAACCCAAGCCCAAAGCCCTTTCAGCTTGAATTCCCTTCCACCAAAACTCAAAGCCCTTAGGCGTAAACCGTAAAGTCATATATCCGAAAGTCTGAAAGCTAAGCCTTTCGAGCCCTAAAGTCTAAACTCCCCAACAGACCCTACATCCCTCCAAACGAATCTGGCACCCTTAAGCGCAAACCCTAGCCCCCTCGAGCGAACCGAAGACGCAACACCAACATTAGAGCTTGCAGGCCCAGGTATCATGGAGTTCAGACCCCCGATTGAGACATAATCCCCTCCAGCCTGAAACGGGCTTAACCAAAATCTCCAAACATTATTTCCTCTTTAGAAGGGTTTGCTAATCAGTGGTCTGGTCCACAATAATTGTACTGTATGAGGCCGGGGCCTTTCAAGAGACTCGGACCCTAGCCCAAACCCCTCGTTGCACCAGAATTAATGACACCCAAAACCAAAAGACCCTAAGCCCCTAATCACCAGGGGAAAAGAAAGCCCCCAGCTAGTTGCCGTTCACAGACCTGGGAGTGGTTCAGCTGCGGCAAGTTCGGAGCAGTGAAGTGCTTCCTTAGGTCTTCGCCCAAACATGGGGTCGAGTGCAGGGTGAAGCTTTGCGACCCACAGGTTCAGTTCTGGGGGGCGTGTTTGGGATTTGGCATTTTGCTTCTGCATGGTAGGGGTGAGTTTTCCGATACTGCACTCGCCAATATAGTGAGATCCTTGTAAGCCCTACCGGAAAGGCCTTTGACCCTAAAGGCCCTCGCCACATCTCAGGTTGAGGGTAGATAATTCCCGCAAGGCATCGGAACGGTCGAGCGGATCGTCTGCGGCTCGACATCGTGGCCTGTCGCAGCTCCGGGAGAGCCCAAGCAATTTCGGTAGCCCGGTAACCCTAAAGCATTCTCGTGGTCTTCGGGCTTGGGTGAATGAGTATCAACCTGTCAGTTTACCCTCACGGTCCATGGACCTAAAGGGGGTCCTATATCGTAACTTAGTTGTGTACTGTATGGGTACATGGACCCATGGGTTTAGGGCTTCAGGGCTCTTGGGATTCGGGTGTGTCAGGTTGTAGGACTAAGGTTTGGGTTTTGAACTGTAGGGGTTTCGGGCGTTACAGCTTTAGATCTCTAGGGCTTCACGGAGTTCCCGTTTGTAGGCGGCACATATTCGCTGTTGAGGTTTATGAACATAAGAAGAGGCTGAGGCTCGGCATCACAGGCTCAAAAAAGATGTGCAAACGAGATGAAACAAGCATGGCTGCGAACAGAGATATTCAGTTCATACGGACATGGCACACATACATCGGGTTCCTCAGCTCCTAGTGTATTAGCTTTGGAGTTTCATCTTTGCCTCTCTGTTTCTCCATCTATCACTTGGATCCACCTGCGAATTCGGGAATATTCAGCTCGAGACCCGAAGATCTTGGTTGCGGACAGCGGAAATTGTTTGTAAGGCCTCGGCCAGCTATACGATAATAGCAATGTGTGATTCACATTGGGTTTGGGAATCGTTTTGCTACATTCTGAGTCAAATCTCTGCCAAGCATCAGATAAATCTGGAATTTCTCCATTAACCAAGGCACTGGGGATTCCTAGAATATGCTTTAGTGCTATTTTGCGCACCCGCCTAGCAGCTTGTGGTAGAGGTAACCGGACACGCTGGTGTCGTCCACAGCGAAGGTCCGCATCGCTGCCTGCATGTGATCAGGCTTAAGGATTAAGGGTCCAAGTCGTCTAGGCTGGGCTGCGGCTTAGGGCTTGCAGACTCTCGGTTGAAAGGGGTATGGACACTACAGTTCAAGGCTGACTTTGCAAGTCGATCTGCTGGAAACTAAAGTGTTCATGCGGCACCGGGCTTCAACAATGCTTGTAGGCCTAAAACATGGATCTCCTGGGCATAGCATGCAAAGACTCAATCACTAGGTAGCCGGGACAGTCGGGTCGTAAGCAGGCTGTGCAAAATTTAACGAGCTGAGTTCAAGCTTCCATCACCTGAGGTATAGACTCTTATAGACATGCCGAAAGGGGTTGGGGCTATGGGCTTGATTTTGATGTTCCACCAAAGCTCCTGTAGAGATGTTTGGGAGCGGCAGCTTTTGGCTTCAGCTGGGTTCTTCATTTCAGTTACCCTACGAACAATTTCAGAAAACCGTCCCGGCACGTCCTGCATGCGGTCGAAAGAAGTTGACTTCCACACCTGAGCGGCCAATCTGGTGCATGGTGTGCGGGGTTCCGAGTTGCTGGGCATTCGTGGCTTAGCACGTCTTCAATATTCAAGCTTTCGAATCTCAGCAGTTTGACAGATTGGCCGTTGTCGTTTATTGGGGCTGTAGGGGCGTAGCGCTTTTTGCCTAAGCAAGAAAATCCTACATTTGATTCGGTATCTCTGCAAGGATGGGCTGGGACGCTGAAATCAGAATAGCGATCCTTCAAGTCTTCGAATCCCAGAACCCTTAAACGAGACGTGTAATTAAGACCGGTATATGGATGTTTCAGACAGTAGGGAACCCTAATATGGAACCCTAAACGATACGATCCTCACTCTAATCCATATGGCCACCCTAGCATTCTGAAGGCACCACAACCTCAAGCCCCGCAGCCCTACAACCATTAAGCAACACTTCAGCCCTGACCAGAGAAGCACCCCTTAAGGCCTATGAACAGCCCTATAAAAAGCCTATAAGAAAGCCCCGCTTCTGATTGAGTCGAGGAGCGAATTCGACTTGGAAGCCGTGGTTGATGTCCCAAGGACCGAGCTGCTGACCACCACGGAGCTCCAAGGCAACCTGCAACTGAGGATTTAGGGCTTAGGCAGATTTTGAGGTGCGCTGCAGTATCGCGATGAAGGCACTTTAACTGGGCATTACAAGCGCCGAGTAACCAAACATGAGGTTTAATACCAACTACTCTGCTTCTATTCTCCGAAATCCTACTGTTTGAGAACGTGGCCCGGAAGAGCTGTCAGCCTACCAACGTGAATCCTAGAGCTCGACGATGCCCGAACACTACAGGACTAAAGGCTGATGCGGCATATACTCGCAGCTACATGGCACCCCGAAGTGCCAAAGCCGATAATTTCAGCCTTACGAGAATCATGACATTGGCATGCGCCCTAACAGCCTGAACGCAATCCATGTCATGCCCTCACCCTCGGCAGTTGGTGGAAGCACGGCGAGCTGTGGCAGTCAAGTCGTCATCATGAGCACAGTCGGGATTATCCGAGATTTTGGTGCATCTGCTTGAGGCAACCGACCTGCTGCATGTGACAAACATGGAAGATGTCCTGCGCGTTGAAGACGTCGCCAGTGGATTTCTTCGGACCTTGTCCTTCCCAAACCTGGCACCTTGAGTCCCAATAAACCTGAAACTGCCCACTTCCTGTCCTTGTCAAGCAACGCATGTTCGGTGTGTGTGTGTGTGTCTGTGTGCCTGCATGTGTGCATGTGTTGAAGAGCTGGCCGCATGGTGGCAGATCTGGGCATTAGTAGCAAGAGTAGCTTGGGGATGGCGCTACTGGTTACCATCGTCTTGGGCCTACAAGTACACGCAACATCTCAACATCTCATAACTACCACATATGGTCCATGTTGCTGGACCACCCTTCATGGTTCATGTACCTGTGCAGTCCGTCGTTTTACCTGAAACGGTTTCCTAGTACCTGTAATTATGCCCAAAGTAGATGCTTGTGAAAAGTAAATTGGACCGCCTAGTGCAGGTGAAACCGTAAGTTTGACGGTGGGAGTTCCCATGTTGAGGCTGCAGCAGACACCGAATAGAGGGGTCAGCAGAAGTCAAGCTGGAACAATTCTCCCGCACACTCCCCAAATCATTGTAGTTACAATGTGTCTTAAACCAGAAAAACTATCTGACAAGCCCGTCCTTGCCTCCTCGTTGGCTGTAATTTTGGAGACGTGCCCGACAGCACTCCAGCCTGCCTGTCATAATATGAGGGCCTTAACAATCAGATACGAGTTTCGAGCGTATATTACGGCATGCACCGTGTCTACTATTCAGGCGTACGTTTATACGAGGCCGGGAGTTGAAGGCGGTCTTCAGCTTTCCTCCAAGCCTTCGGTAGTTGGAAGGTCGGGGTTGCGGGGTTGAGGGCAGTTAATTTTAGTGTTCATTCCAGCGCATGCCGGTGACTGCTGCCAAACCTAGTAACGCCAGGCACTGAAACCCTAGGCTACACCCGTGGGGAGTGGACTATGTCCCGGGCCTGTATAGATAGAGTTCAACACTGACGGGACAGACATAAAGTGAACCTAACCCGCAAATCACGAAATCCCGAAACAGCCCCAAATCCCTACGGACTACCGAACTGAAGAGAGCTGTGGGCTTACAAACGGGGTTTCTGTCCAGAGTGCAGGACTGGCGGAGTTTCATGGGTTCAGCCTTCAAAGTTTCTGGGTTCAGGATTTACATAAGTATTATTTAGTCAATGAACCGCGAAGACAGCTCCAAGTGTGTCCCAGTCGCAGCTTTTCTGCAGAATGCCGCGAACAGCGAGATGCGAACTTAGGACGCGTATGGCTATGTCACTGTCTCAAGAACCCGGTTCAGAGTTTCTTTCACCTCCCGAGCGAGGCCGGTCAACTCGACGTTGGATTCATCAAATTCCTGGAGAGCTTCCTTTGCTGCCAGCAGTCGGTCACGGTCCAAGTGCCTCAAGTCCTCATACATTCGGCCTCGTACCCGGCTTTCGTCCGGCACTAGCAAGGTAGCCAAATATGTCTCTGCAAAGACTTTGTCCGGGAAGATGCCGAGATCTTTCATCTTCTGAAAGGCCGAAGTGAAATGCTCAAGTTTCGCACGCGTGTAAGTCCGGATCAGGGCCGTGAAAAAAATAACATCGGGAACAAGGCCCTGCTCCTCCAGTTTTGTCAGCAGATACTTCGCTGCATTATGACTCACGCCCTTAGAATTCCGGCAGGCGCGCACGGCAGAGGTGTAATGATTCAAATCAGGTTTAAGCTTTCTCGTTTGCATCATGTCCAACACGGATGCGGCCGTCACGATGTCTCCTTCTTCAGCCGCTGCATCAATTCGGGCCCCTGCAAGCACTACATCCATGCCCTCACTTTCCAAAGCCTCTACCCAAGTCTGCTCGACGAGGGCAGGCTGTCTGCTTTTGGCGAGCAGTTTAATCGCCAAGGTGTAAACCGGCAGGGTCTTTGGCAAACTCAAGTCACACAGCCTCTTGTACACTTCGACACCTCGCTCGTATCGGCCACATCGAAATGCGGCATGCATAACTTGGCAATAGATTGCAGAGCAACTTCCGTTGTATCTTCGAAAGGCGGACTCAACGGAGCCCCAATGACCCTTGCGGGACAACCCCACGAGCCGATTCAATAACTCTTTTTCTGCGGGAGTCAAGGGCAGTGGCTCGATGGCATCACGCGTTTGTGCCCTGAACCTTGCACCGACCTTTTCGCGCATCAGACTCAAGGTCTCTTGCTTCGGCTCCTCGGTTCGTTTGCTTCTCCCCCCCACCGGTGTTCCCGGTGTAGAAAAACTGCAACTGCGATAACTGAGATAGCCGTGGAGCAAGACGAACCAATTTAGAAGGATGGCTAAATACTTTCGCAGCCGGGCCATGGGTGAGGGCCTTGAGAAGCTTACTGGTAAGTGGCGACCATATCGTCCCAATATACACACATATGTGTATGTGATATGTATATGTGTATTATATGATTTGTATGAGTTTTTCAGACTAGAAAGAAACATAGATAGATAGATAGATAGATAGATGGATAGCCTGTATAAGTATAGTAACAGATGCTACCAACATCCCATTTTGCTTGTTAGGGCCCCTGACCTCATTCTAGATACCTCGCGACAACATCGCCTGACTCATCGTAGCAGTTGTCTAACATGACCGTGTTACATAAACACAACATCGAAATCCGACCTGAAGCAGCTTCATTCCTGCAGGACCTGACGCCCTCGCACTGCATGCCAATCCTGTTAAGGGGGGGCCACGTTCTGCGAGGAACCGCTCCCGTACATATCATGCCAACTTATCACAACACTTCTTCCAGGGTCAAGTGTTGCATTGGCCTGTATAGTATAGTGCACTGATGCATCAACTTATGTGTTGTAGCTACTGTACCAGTAGTGCTTGGCACAACATGTCGACCACAACCGTCTGCACCAGCCCAAGAAGTTTGAGCCAAAGGTCAAGCCCGGCACAGATTATTGTAGGGGCCTTAATAATTTGAACAGGGCCTTGGACTTGGACTCGTGCGTAGTATATCGTCCTAAGGAATGATAATTGATAATCATTTCGGCATCTGTATTGCCCATTTTCGGAAGAAGCACTGAAACCATGAGTGCTTCCGGCACAAAATCAACGAAACATGGACAGTATCTTGAAACCTTCTTGAACTTCCCTACCCTTCGCCGTGTTTATGTGAAAAATCCTGAACCCTGAACCATCCTACACCCTAAACACCTAAACGGCAATCCTCGAAACCCTAGACCCGAACACGAACCCTCCTGAACCCTAAACTCTGAACCCCCGAAGCCCAACACTCTAACCCTAAACACTCTTAACCTCCTAAGGCATAAAGCCCCTTTTGTTGAATGGAAGCCTTACCCTTAAAGAAACCAAAGAACCTTCTAAAGAGAGCTGAAGTAAGAAAGCGGACACCTCATCCGAGCCGGAGAGGTCAGCGTAGGCGGAGGAGTTCAGGCGCAGGCGAAGCCTCGTGGACGAGAAGTCGGTAATCTAAGGGACCTCAATGCGTAGAACAAGGCTCCTTCAAGGGTCATTATCAGGGTTACTAGGCGAAAAATGGGGTTCAACACAGGGCCTCTGTTAACAAATCAACGCTATCCCTTAAAGAGGATTAGAATAGCTCTCATCCGTTTTATGGGAGTCGAAGTTCGGCATGATATGGTTTACCAGGACCTTGCAAGGAATCATCAACGCAGGCCGTGCGGCACTAAATGGCAAGCACCGGGTAGAATAGCGCTTATTATGTTGAGGGGGGGGGATCAGGGCTTCAAGTTTCAAGTTAGAAATCCTGGGCCTTCGGGTTCATTGAAGCAGAATTTAGCTTTGAGGCGTGCTGACATTTGCAAGCACCAAGCCCAGATTACAACCAGAAATATTAAGTTACATTATATTCTACTTTGTCATATCATGGCATTGTCATATCATGGCATGCCATGTCATACTGTCATATCTTATACCATATTAGGTTGCAGCATATCATGATATATATATATATTACTGTATTGCACTTTATCATATCTTTTTTTATCGGTGCATGTATTTGCTTGTTTTAGTTTATTGCATCTTGTATTATATCATATTGAATTATTGCATTATGTTAAACTATATCAGTTGTTATACTATAATATGCTGCGATATTCCATTAGACTACATTACATTATCTTATACAAAAACTACACTATACTAGATTATGTAATGCCATGTCATGGTATGCTATGTAACATTATAGTATACCATATTGCACTATATTACACTAATCAAATACAGTGTACCATACCACATTGCATTATAAGAACTTGTTATACTATACTATGTTATATTATAACCGATCATACCATATTACAATAGTTATAGTATATTCTGATATATTGTATCATGCTGTACTATGCATCATCATATTATATTGCATTGTATTACCTTATGTCACATTATATCATGTCATGAAATACTACGGTATTGTATGATATAATACTAAATAATGCTGTATTGATATATATATATTTATATTTATATGTATATGTATATACATATATAAACAGAGAAATAAACATACATATATATATATAGGTATGTATGTATGTATGTATGTATGTCTGTATGTATGTATGTATGTATGTATGTATGTATGTATGTATGTATATATGTGTATATATATATATGTTATCACATGTTAGGTTAGATTTGGTTGGTTCAGACTAGTCTAGAGAAAATCAGATTAAGACTAGATGATTAGATTAAGTTATATTGTTTCAAACTATGTTACAGTATGAGAACCCCATATTACAACCCGCCAGCCTTTCCGGAACGCCCTACGTGCAACCAGATGCGCAGGCTTGTTAACAAACCTGTTTTACGTAAAACGCCAACACCTGAAATCCCAGCACCAAACCCCTGCCAATGCGAATAATAGTACTAGGCCTAGTACAAGCTATACGACTGCAACAACTTTTGACATTGTCGGGTCTTGGATTCTTCAGCCTTGTATTTGCAATCCGTCCTTGACTGCAAGTATTCGGAAGTCTGTGAACTTACTGAATACGACATGAGAGTGCTCCTGTAGAAAACGGTAGGCTAGTTTAGTAGTTGCCCGCATCTCCTTGTTCCCGAAACTCAAAGCCGTGAGCTCCAGAAAAGGGTTTCCTTGAAGGTTTCTAGCAGCACAGATGAACATCCATGAGCAACATTGAACAGGACCCTTCGTCCCAAGACACAATCAGCATCGCCAATGATGTAGGTTCATCTACAGGCACTCCACAAGACGCAAGACCAGTTCCAAAGCTGACGAAAGCGCAGTAAAGAACCCTCAAGAAAACCATACACAACCCTACTGAGCTATGAAACCGTCCGAAACCCCATGAATCTTGCTACATCCAACAAAGCATTACAAGACTATCCCTGCGCAGCAAGGCAAGGAATACCCCCCCCCCCTACCTACACTCTAGCATTATAGCCCAAACACACCACAAGTAAGGACCTCAAGAGCTCCCCGAAAGGGAGCCATGGAGGTTTGAACAAACAACAAAAGCCCTTTCTAACCATTTATACTTCTACCCCAATACCCTCTTCTCACCATCACCATCGCATCTATGCAAGCCCTCTAAAATCTTGGCTTAACCATTCAGGCCCCTGTATTACTTCGGGGGTACTGGAAGAGCCTGAACCCCAAGCCGCATGCAACCCTAAACCCTAACTAACCCCGAAATCCCCTAAGGTTTATAGGGTTCAGGGTTTCGAGTCCTAAACCCAGAACCCGAAATACCCCCAAGCCCAAATCCGAGAGGCTCGTCTCCCGGCGCGAGACGGGCTTCGGTGTCTTCCTGTTCTGCTTGGCGCAGGGCGCTTAGTAGAGTTCCTCGAAGATCCCAGAAGGGTTCTATAGCGCTGCTTCTCTGTTCTAGAAGGTTGGGGGACTGCGTTAGTGAAGCCTCCTCGGGCTGCTACAAGGGTTTCAGTTGTTCCCTCCTCCTCGCCAAAAAACTTGGGAGTCTTCTGTCGTCTTCACACACAAGTCGCTCCAAGGAACCGGCACATGACAGGGTGGGTACCAGTAAGTACTTGTCAACACGTGTCGCAGAAAGCAAGCGCCACCTCCGACGCGATGCCGTTCTCTATCGCGAGATGCATTCTCTCTCGCTACCAGAGACGAGCGCCAGTCGCATATAGAAGAAATCGAAATTGCTGGTAGCGACCAAGCAAGTCCTAAACCCGTAATCAAGCAACGAAGAATGGAAAACCACGCGCTCATCCTCAATGCCCGTTTCGGTTCCTTTCCCGCTGTGGTGCTAAAGTATATTAAAGCCACAATCATAGTAAGCAGCGCTGTCAATGCTTAAGTCGGAGGATATCAGGGGTACAAGTATACAGCATACATATCCAAAGTCTCCTTCCTGAATTATACCCCTACTTACTAAGTCCCCTGACCCTGTAAGTCGGTTCCCCAGCAACCCCGTAAACGATAAAACAATGAAACTAGAATAAGTTACTCCTTGGCAGACCCATTTTTTCGTTGTTCACCATTCTTTCGGGCTTCAAAAGGGCCTGCAGCCACCATGCAGTAGGCCCACGTACAACAATTCGGCATCCGAGGTTCCCTTGCCATCACAAATGCAAGCTCTAAACCCTAAAAAACCCTAAAACCCTAAACCCGAAAAGTCCAAACCGTGGAAACCCTGAAGCGAACCACTAAACACCCAAATACAGGGGCCCTACATAATAGCATGCAGCAGAAGTACTTAGGGACTATCTTGAGATGGCAGTACTGAGTTTCCACACCCTTGCATTTACAACCATCTTCCGGTGAGCAGCTAAAGCCTCTCTCAAGGAGCCAAAGAAGCCAGGATGGCCTACTACTTAGGTCGCGGGACCCCTCAGGCAAAGTTCTAAGGTTTCCTTCGCCGGTTCTCTTTAGCCCCTTTCAGGTTTCAATACCGTTCGCCCACAGCTTCCAGCCACAAACGGAAACCTTCAGCTGCCAAGACTAGAGTTTACACACCTTGTTCCCCCCTCCAAAGCAACACTAAGTACGCCCTCCAAATAAATTGATGGCTCGGGAATAACCTGCAGAACGCAGTGGTGGGGGACAGATTTTGCACGGCTATGGGCCTTCGTGAAGTGGAAGTAGGCGATGCGCTTTTTGTTCAAACCTGGGGCATCACAACGGGGTTCTTGTTGAGGAACTAAGTTACGTTTGGTGCCCCAACCTCAACTGCTCAAGCCTGAACAACTCAACCGTGCGCCTTACACTGCCTTATCACACGCTGACACTGAAGTCGCAAGGTCTAATGTAGGGGCCATATACTATAAGCTTAAACCTGAAACCCAAGAGCCCCCTGATTGGCCTAAACTCCATAAGCCCCAATCGGATTCGCGGAAGGGAAGTCTTAAGTGGATGTGGTGTTTTGGGGCTTTGAGATATCCGCATGCAAATGTTAGGCAGCTTTAGGTCAAGGATTGGGATCCAGCAGAGACTGTGGAAGCTCTTAAGCAAGCACGTCCAGTACATCCTGAAAGAGCTATTTTGCAATAATAAGTGATGATCGCAACAGCCCGGGGCCGAAACCCCAAACCCCAAAGTGCTAGACCCTACATCCTCAACCAGGTAAAGCCCCGAAACCCTAATCTCCTACTACGTGAACCTGCACCCGAAGCCCAATCCCTAAACCTGCAAGCCGTAGAGACTCGCGCTCGTAACACCTTATCCCTAATACCCTGCAATACCTGTCACCAACCTGGACACTACCCCACAAGTCCAACAGCCCAAAACCTCAAAACCCAAGGCCCTCGCAGACAAAACCTCAAACCCTCAAACTTGAAAACCTAAACTAGAGGAACTGCCATGGAGACGAGAGGATAGGTACATTCTAATTCGTAGAGCTCAGGCCAGAGCCCACATCCCAGCGCACCACGACGTTCTCCTGGCTCTGCGACTCCTTCAGCTTTTTGTCGTAGTCCGCCTTGCAGGGGTGTAGGGGAAGCAAGGTTTGTTTTGAAGGCTTCTGTTAAGGATCCCTTTAAGGGCGAGTTCGGTGCGCGTTAGGCTTTCAGTGCTTTGTTTTTCCTTTGTCTTGGCGTTGTAGACGGGCTTTATAAGGATTCCAAAATCCTATATAGGTTCCTCACTGGTTCTACAAGGGATCCACGAGGGCTTGTGAGGGTTCGAAGTCCAACACGGATGAAACGGCCCCTATAATTCGGCTTTGAAGGGGTTTACAAGAGTTCTACACTTGTCTTATTCAGGACTGTTGACAGGTTGAAAAAGTCTGAATCATGGTTCGACAAGTCCACGATGAGGAGTGTAGAGGGGTTCTGTCGAGTGGCTTAAAGCTCGCGGTTTCGGGGGGTGTTTCCGGCGTAAAGATCTGGAGTTAGGCCTTACCTCCCAGCAGATCCAACAAGGCCTCAAAGACAAAATAACACGATGCCGCCGTCACAAACAGACTGCTACAAGGCCCCAAATGCTATACTCGACAATCCACTGTCCTAAGCCCCCAAAACCTAAGTTACCCTGTACAGATCGCTGATTCAAGCATTCCAATCCCTAGTCGGTTTGGAATACCCTGAGAGTCCATGTACCTCAAGCGCACATACTATGCCTTGAAAGTACAGGAACCCCCTAATCACAAGACCAAGCTGTGCACATCATAGGTACTTGGACCCTTAGGGATAAGGATCCTGATGCAATGTTCGGGCCTTTAAGGACCGCAAGTCTGTGCTAATCCTGAAACCCAACTCTCTGTCGCCTCCATCTTCACCAGTGGGGCGAAGACGTGCTGATACTGGTAGGCGTCCTCGCTTCGCATGCCACTGGGTTTGCTTCGAAGCTCTCTTTGTTTATGAAATTAGCTACACGTTTAAACAAGAATTTCTATTACTCCTAGAGAGCCTTCAATTAATGTGAAAACGGGGTTCCTTGCAAAGGTTATTAATAAATGCTGCATAGCGCAGTCTACTGGCGAAACATGCCAAGTGACTTCGGCTGGGTTCGCTGCAGTTAGAGCACCCTCGGCCTTCTTCCCTACAACCCAACATCTGCAAGTCAACCGTGTACCCAAAACGCTAGGCGGCACTAGACTCTCCAACCCTAAATCCGTTAAAACCCAACACTAGTACCCCCGGCCAGCTTCGGGTTTGACCTCCAGCCGAATGCAGAAGCCAGGCTACGAAACACCTACAAACCAGACTCAGCTTGAGGGTTTAGGGTTTAGAGCCATGTTCAAAGTCCTTTGGAATCCCAAACCCTAAACTGAAGCAAGCTGCAAAGCCCATCCAAACAGAACCTAGGCCGGAAACCGTTAATGTCGCGAATCCTTGATGCTAGTTATGTGAATGAAAAGTTTACATCTGAAAACCACAAAAATCCAAAACCGTACACCCTAAGCGCTAAATCTTGTGACATCGGATCTTCAAGTCGAAGAGCACGATCCCAACACTCTGCTTGCAATACCCAAACACGGTCATGCTAACATCTATACTACTATACACTACTATACACTGTACGCGCATGCTGCTACCTGCCTAAAAGAGACAAACACATCGATCGCTGCATTTGCATATCCAGTTCGAGGAGACTGGAATCGGAAGTTCAAAACCTCAAAACCGAAAGCTGAAAAGTCCAAGAGCAGCAAAACCTTTAAGCCTCCATCCCTGAACCTCGAAACCCGAAGCTTGCGCACCTTAAGTCCAAATATAATTTAGAAGTGACAAACATTCCCAAAGCCCACAGCCCGAAACCCGCCAACATGAAAGGGTAGTACGGGTTTTGGCACGAACACAGGAAAAAACCTCAAGCTCCCAAAAAAAAACCTAAATCTCCCAAAAGGGCCAGGTCCTCATACCGGAGCATCACGGGCTGAGGGTCATCTTCCGACCCAGGGCCAGCCTGCTTCTTGGAGCTTTTAGTTGGTTGTTAGTGCAGGATTCTCGTGTATACATACGTGTATTCTATGCCTGTATATATATATATACATGTATCTATATCTACATGTGTGTGTATATATAAATATAAAGACATATGTATATATATATATATGTATGTGTAGACATATATATAGACATATATATACATATATATATATATATGGACATATATATATAGACATATATATATATATATGTATATATGGACATATATATATATAGAGACATATATATATACATACATATTTAT